AGAGAGAGGGGGGTGCTAGCAAAATGTGACATGCCCCAGTTGGCAGGAGGGAACGAGAGAAAGATAGAGTGGGAAATAGGTGGGGATAAAGAAAGACAGAGACAAACAAAGAAAAATAGAAGGCGAGAGATACACACACACAGGGGGAGAGAGAGAGAGAGAGAGAGAGAGAAAGAGAGGGGGGGGCAGAGAAATAGAGAGGGTGGCTGCTGGATTGAAATTATCACATTGTTCTTTACTTCAAATCGTGATTCCTCCAACTCCAAAACGGAGGAAAAACGATCGTTCATCGAAAAGACATCCGCAATCTTCATTTAGATCTAGATCTAGGTCTAGATCTAGATCTAGATCTAGGCTAGCCGCGAAACTAGATCAAAGATTTATGTCTGCCTAGATCTAGATCTAGACCATAGTTCTAGAAGAACCTAGGTCTACCCTGAGCCAAGAGGGCGCTGAAACTCTCCGAAATCACAAAAGAGTTCCCCTACCGGGTCTGCATACTTTGTGACTTTGTTCCCGGTTACCGGGTCTGTATACACTCCCATAAAAATAATATGCTACAGTCATTGGTTCCAGTGGCAGTGGATGGTTTTAAATGTGGGTGGGGCTGAGAAATCAGGGTAGGTAGAGTTCTAAGGTAAGATTTCCTTTGTTCAGAGGATGTTAGAGATATGTGGTATGTGGGAGTATGTTTCATTCACACACTCGCTCACAAACGCGCTCATATGGCTTTATACAAAAAAAATCATTAATTAAACACACAAATGCACATATACAACAATAACTGGATTAGGCCATGGGGTCGTAGAAAGCATGGCATTTTTAAAACGTGGGCCCATGAGCGTGTTTTGGTTACTGGGTCTCTGAGGGAAGTGTGTCCTGAACTTTTCTCCCTTTGTCTGGGCAGGCAGAGAACGAGCCTCTCTAACAACAGTTTCCGCGGGCTCTCGTTTGTTTCTTTTACTCTTTTTCAAGAGTAGTTTCATTAACAAAGAACCGTTGGAATGGGCCCTCCCTTTGCTGAGCCCTAAACACATTTGATTGGCTGTTAGGTTACTATCGTTGTAAGCGGTGACTACTGTGATTGGATAAACGAGCTAGCGTGTGTGTTCACTTCATGCAGCTTAAAGCGGAGGCGGAGGCGGAGGCGGAAGATTCTGAAACAGTTCTAACGGTTTCAACAGATTATCTTGTTTATTAGAAGAAACATTCTTTTACGGGCGGAAAGAGTTGGGGTGGGGGTGGGAGTGGGTGGGACTCAAGCCCTATTTAGCCCTTCACTACGCCCAGCCACTGATTGGTTCTCTATGAAAAACGGCTGTCACACCTCATTTCGTCATCATGGATTCTTCTAATGAAGATACTTTGATTGAGCTAGCATATCTAATAATACTTATAAAGAAGAGGAAAAAAAGCGCAGGATGTGATATCGTGAACATATTTGTCTCTTAATAAGGAGTAAAGAGGAGAGTTTCGACAAACTTTCTGCTCATTGATGACGCGTAAAAGTGACAAATTGTTCTTCGGTCTTCGACTATCTAAGAATGTCATACAAAACTTATGAGGTACCCATGACACTTCACAAGTGCTCCCACAACTAAAATCCGGGGGTTGTAATTTCCCAAACGTGTTTTCTTTGTTCATTGTTATGGCAGTCAGGGTTTTGGAGTCCCAAATAAGTCGCCGGGCTCTCCCAATCTCAAAAAGGTTTTTAAGTTCTTGAGTTCACCTGTTGTGTCACACACCTCGCAAAAAGTGAACAAGTTAAGTTTACTTTTCAGCTCATGCGGTTTTCGTTACGCGTGTGCCGTGTGCCTTCCTATAGAAGGTCGGCCAAAGGCTGAAAATAATATACTGCCACGCACAACTGAAGTTCGCCGCGAAAAAAGTCGTGCCCTCCCCTTTATTTCCGATGGGTGATTTCACTGACACGACTAGAGGTGATGAGTGGTGAGGGCCCAAAAAGACGTGCGTGCAGCACTTCTTTTTGGCGTGCGGACAGGCTCGCCCTGCTATCGCAGTGTTCCGGGACGCGGTGGAGATAAAACGAAAGAGGGGCCAGCCATGAGCCGTATATATACGCCTGCTCAGCGCCGTTTTTTGCCCAGTCGGACGGAGTCACGCTGACCTATGGAATCACCGCTTCCGTCCTAGCTGCTCGTCCATTTTACGGCGCTCTTCACTTATACGTGGCAGTATATTTTCAGCCTAAGAGGACCACTCTTTTCTTAAAAACGAGTGATCGATGATTCGGAGAGATTCGACTGTAATTATTCATTAAAAATGTAAAGATATTTAGAGTAGAATTTGAGCCAAAGGCACAACGACAAGGGCATCTTTCATACAGAAGAGAATTATAAGAGAGGAGGTCACAGTGACATTGATTTTGGCCAGAGGCTTTCTAGGCAACGGACATGAATGTTGAAGCGTCGTGATTGAAGAATGCGTTGATTGTAAACTGCCTAGCAATAATTGATGTAAGAAGAGTACTCACGTTTGCTGGTTGTGTAAACAGCAACAACTAAATGGGGAGGGGACAAGGAGCTCAAAACTGTAACCTCCTTGGGAGGGGGGAATTTATAGCAATTATACGCTGGAAATCAACAATAAGGGAGAGAGGGGGGATGGGGAGGAGAGTCTGACAGACAGACAGACAGACAGACAGACAGACAGACAGACAGACAGACAGACAGAC